CCCCCCCCCCCCCCACCCCCCCAACAAAACAAAAAGGGAGTCGAGGCACCGTGGAGCCCAGTGTGAGGGTGTTGCGGCGCAAGAGCCGAACGCTTCGTGCACTGCTGAAGGGAGGGAGGCGCCGGGTCGCCACCTCTAGCCACTGGTGGGAGGTTTTAAGGCGCTAGCTTTTTGCGATTTTTGGTTAGGGGCCTCAGGAGTTTTGGAGGCTTCAGGAGTTTGGCTCCAAAACAAGAAATTTAGAGGGCTACGTTTCTTATTTTGGGTGGTTTCCAAGCCCTAAGCCTAGTTTATACGGCAGCAGACGATCTTGGCGGTGTGTGTCTGGCCTAATGGTTAAGGCCTTTGGCTCAGTTGACGGACTTCCATGGGCTCCAGCCCCGGCCATGCAATGGAAAAGGAATGAAGGGTACCCAACGATTCTGGAGCTGAGAAATCCGAAAACGTGAAACTACAAGGAAGTTTAGAAATGAAGGGTACCCAACGCTGGAAGCTGGCATTTCTTAGTCTTATCCAGCAGATGCACTGTACCTTACATGGGGTTCCTTATCAAGCACCACACTCTCTCCGCATCGGCACGGCGGTTTGCTACTGCATTGGCTGAAGAAGGATCAAGAGCCGGCACCAGTCACTGGCCCGCCCCTCTCTACGCCACAACACCTACTGGAGTCTCCGTTGTCTCAAAGGGTCTCAAATGTAAGAAGACATCAAGACCACCAACGCTTGTGGAAGTAGTAGAAACAACTGACCCTAAACCCCAAAACCCTGAAGCTCGAAACCCTAAACCCTAAACCCTCAAAAACTAGACCCTAAAACCCTAAAGCCCGAAACCCCCCTCCCCCCTGACCAACATAAGCCCGAAACTTCAGCCTTATTGAAACAAGCGGACGCGACGAAGATTGCACCACAACCCGGCAGGGAGACGTAAGATGGCCTAAGGATCTCACACACCAGTCGTTTATTGTTATGGGGTTGAGGGTTTAGGGTTTAGGGTTTAGGGTTTCGGGTTTAGGGTTTAGGGTTTAGGGTGTAGGGTTTAGGGTTTAGGGTTTAGGGGTTATGATGGTTACCATGACTATTACTACTAGGTGCATTGTAATCTATGATAACAAACCCCTAAACCCTAAACCCGAAACCCTAAACCCTAAACCCTAAACCAAAAACTCCGCCTCACGCATCATCTCGTAGGACACCTGTGCAGCGCGGACCTGGCATTGTGGTGCAGCTCTTCTTCTAAGGTAGAACCCATGGGCCCCTAGTATGGGCCCTTAACCCTGGGACCCTAATATACCTACTATATACCCTATATACACCCTTACCCTAAACCCTAAACCCTAAACCCTAAACCCTAAACCCTAAACCCTAAACCCTATACCCTATATACACCCTTAAGGGACCCTAGAATCCCCTAAGGGCCCATGTTAGGGGGCCAACCTTAGACTTCTGATATGCGCGCCGTGTCATAGGGTTTACCCATAGGCCCTAGAGTAGTTCCTTTTTGGGGTTTAGGGTTTAGGGTTTAGGGTTTAGGGTTTTGGTTTAGGGTTTAGGGTTTAGGGTTTTGGGTTTAGGGTTTAGGGCCCTAGAGTAGTTCCTTTTTGGGGTTCATTTTTAAACCTACAAGGTAATCCCAAAAAGGAACTACTATGGGGCCTATGGGTAGTGTTTGTGGGAGAAGTACTAAGGTTCCGCATCCCCTACTAGCAGGCACTTAGCCCGAGCAACACTACTTTAAGAACTAATTAGGGGATGTAGCATATAGGTTATAAAAATGTTATAAGTAAGGCTACGGCTAGAGCTATTGAAGCCTTGCTCGGGGTATACACCATCCCATTATTCAAAAATCAAAACCTGGGTTTAGGGTTTAGGGTTTAGGGGTTTAGGGGTTTGGGGTTTAGGGTTTAGGGTTTTGTTTTCGTGCACTATCTATGAAGCAGTGCCTGGTTTCGGCCCCACTCAGAGACTCAAAGATGTGCTCAGAGAAATTCACCCGATGACCCTCGTCATACGGACCTCACTACGTAGACGGAAACTCAACCGACCCTGAACAGCCGAGTTGAGCAGTTCGTAATTACTTCGGCCCCTAAACTGAAACCTCTATACCTAAACCCTGAACCCTCAACCCTTATATGGGTAGTTCTCCAAATTCGAATCCTTTCAGGGTCCTTTAGCCCCCCACCTCAAAAGAGACCCTAATTTAGAACTACACCCCGCTGTAAGGGACCCTTACCATATAGTAACCCGACCCAGGGGCCGGGAATGTTGCATCCGGCGACTTCGCAGAGAACATGACTCCTGAGGGTACGTAGAGTCTCAGGGGCTGAGTACCCTTGTCCAAAACAGGTTAACCCTGTAATTATAGTAGGATGATATGAGCCCCAAAAGGTTAATAGGTCACCTACTCAGCCCCTAAGGAGTAGAGTTTGGTGTTTTCGGGCTTAGCTGCTTCGTAGCTTGGCATCAGAATTGTGGGCTTGCTGCTTTCGGTTCTTCGGGATCTGACGTGGGCAGGCCTACGATCTCGAAGAAGAGAGGCTAGACCCCGAGCAGCAGGATCTTAATGAAGGTTGAGGGTTTAGGGTTTAGGGTTGGGGGTTTAGGGTGAAGCAACGTTCCAGAAAGTCTGCTGGCAATTGGCATCCATCTCCCCAGCATGAACCTTCAGTCTAAAGGCCAAGCAGTTGCCAAGATCCTGCAGGAATCCTATAATACGAGTGACAGTTCCCGACGGTTCCACATGGTAGGCATTAAGAATATACCGTAAACCCTTAACCCCTAAACTTCAAACCCTAAACCCTAAACTCCAAACCCTAAACCGCATTTGTCCATGAGCACGAGGACCCCACACAACCTTACAGTATCAGGCAGAGCTTCCAGAAGCATGACCCCCTGTCGCCAGCTGTGCAAAGGGATGCCCAATCAGCAGCACGGACCTTCTCAGAAGAACCGGAGAGGCTTTTAAGATTTAGGGTTTAGGGTTTAGGGTTTAGGGTTTAAGATTCAGGGTTTAGGGTTTAGGGTTTAGGGTTTTAAAGTAGAATCGGAGAGGCTCTTACAGTTTATAGGGTTTAGTTCTAGACATTGCGAGACTATCGGATAGTCACCATCTCTCCCCTTTCAGGGTGAAGGGGTGAGAGGTTGCCTTGGGGTGGAGGGTTCCCTGCAAATTTCAGGGTGTAGTGACCTCTAAACCCTGAAACTCTAAACCCTACACCCTACCAGCCCCAAACCCTAAACCCTAAACCCTAAACCCTAAACCCTAAACCGTGACCGATCTTGGGAGGATAGGGAACTTGAAGGTCTGTCCTGCAAGGGTCTGAAACTCAAGGCCTCCTCTTCAGAAGTATTCATGAAGGGTTTAGGGTTTAGGGTTTAGGGTTTAGGGTTGAGGGTTGAGAGGTTTAGGGTTTAGGTTTAGGGTTTAGGGTTGAGGGTTGAGGGTTTAGGGTTGAGGGTTTAGGGTTTATTCTCCCAGACTCAGACTAGAAGGGGCATTAAGGATCTCGGCTGCGTCTTGTGAGGGTGGCGAGGTTCACCACCTTGAAGCTTTCACTAATTTTGGGTGCCTGTGTGCACAGGATCTTACCGTAACAGTCATCCGACCTTCGGACAACCCCAAGGCCCGCCCTCCGAGAATAATAATAGTAGTAATAGTAATAATAATACTAATAATAGTAATAATAATAATAGTAGTAATAGTA